CATATATCATGCATGCATTACTGACGACGTAGTTAATAAGCACATATAGCATAAACGGAAAAAAATACAGTCATAACCTACCTCAAATCAAGTCTTGAAAATCTAAAAAAATGAGCTTTTCCCTTGTAATGAATTCCAACTTGTTCTTGGTCTAAAATAATATAAACACAATAATCGATTAATAATGGCCTAACAATATACTAATTATAACCAAATCCTAAACCCCAGGCCATTCACATGATCATCCCACCCAACAAGGATCTTTTCCGCCATTAATTCAAGTTAAAACTCTTCCGCAAGAGTAACACCATAGATTCTAAAGCTTAAGAATCAAAATACAAGTTGGGGAAGTAACTAACTTAACTTTACCGAAGAACTTGGTGGAAAAACTGAAGAAAACTGTCCTAAGTCGCTCTTCCTTTTCCCAAGAACGAAGTTGCCCAAAATAAGAGGTTTTGAGAACTTTTCTGCACAAAAATCCAACCAACTCCACTATAATTGTCCGACCCACTATAGCAGCGTCGCCATAACGGCCCGGAAAGATAATCTTGTTTCTTATGTTTTCCTTCTGTTTTTTTATGGATCTTTTTATGTTTTTCTATAAGAATAAAAAAGAATGATTTTGAATGTTAGATTGTTTCTGTCTTACGCTGAAAGAAAATTTTAAACAAATTTTATTCAATCTTCTTGTAAAAAATTTAGTTAGTTGTGGGATTTAAACAAAAAAAATTAGCTTTTGTAAATATCAGTTGGATTGAAAGATTTTCTTTCCTTCGTAAGTTTATTTAATATACATAAATTTAATTTGATTCTAGATTTAAAATTTGATTAAGCTTGTAATAAAAACCTAGCGGCTGAATACATCAATATTTAAATTTTGTATTCTCCTCTAATTATACAAACATATGATTTTTATTTTTACAATAGAGTAATTAACAATCCAATCCATAAATATGTTAAACTACATTTTTAACGTAAGAAGAACCATATTCCACTAAAAGGAAAAAAAAAACATAAATTAACTACAAACTTCGTTGATAATTTTCTCATAGCTAATTGAATTTTGTATAATTCATCACTAAACAGAATTAACGACAAATTTTATTGTTTACCTACAGAATTTGTCCATCGTTAATTCCTGTTTTTTGAGTAGTGTTAGATAAATCCCAAGACAGGAACAACATGAGATGTCTCCAAAATAAGTCGTTGTTGGATTGAGCCTAACGTCGATCCACCTTCCATTATATCTTTAACCAATGACTTATAGTAATATTTCACTTTCTTAAGCATGCACTTCAATTTGACTCGTCGATAAAGGTTAACTAATATTAATCCTCGGCGGGGTTTCTTCTCTCCGCCGAGCCACACCGTTCTCTTCTTCCCCCGGAGTGATATTTTCCGACTCCGCCACCGGAATATGGTGGTGGGATGATAATGACTACTTTTGTTGAAGGTGTTTGGCATTGGAGAGCACATTGTGATTGCTTATGGAGAAAAAAAAGGGATTGTAAATAGATATATAGAAGCAAAAGGTAGTGTGGAAATTGCTAGTTAAAGAAACAAAATAGAAATAAAGATTTGGGGACGTTATGTTTTGGTTTGGTTTTATTTGGGGTAGGGGTGGACAGTACATCAAAAATGATCTTTAGCGACAATTAATTAACGACAATAGCTTAATTGTTGTTAAATATGTATTTTTAGCGGGAACTAGCACTTTTTCTATATGTCCCTAAAGTCTTTAGCGACATTAGATCTAATGACACTTAACTAATGCCGGTAAAGACTTTAGCACTCTATTTATCGCCGCTAAAAATTATTTTTGTTGTAGTGGAAGTAGTAAGAAATTATGTGTATTAGATGTTTATATCAAGTTCGTAAATGCATGATACATGTCTTTTTTATATATATTTATTGCTTAATCATAACTAAGTAATATTTTTTAAAAATTTATAATTATTAAAATAAAATTATTTAATTTAATTTAAATATCAAGTGCCACTAAAGAATTAACATAAGGAAATAGAGAGTTGACTATGAGCCTCAAACATCATGGCAATTATAGGATTGGGCTGTCTAAAAGATTCCACTACTCTTCGTAGTTTAGGCTAGTTTTATTTTTTCATATGCTTATTTAAATACAAAAGATCTAATTTTATCATTTAGATGTTTCCTGTTTGTCTTATACTAAAGACAAAAATGAGAAATATATTGTTTATATTTTGATATGTTAAAGTTAGAGGTGTCAAAAATGAGCTCAAACATAGGTAATCCGTCCAACTCATTCAAAATTATAAGTGTTGGGCTCGAGATGATTTGAATTGAATTTAATCTTAACTCATTTTAAGTAGAGCAAATTACAGAAATCACATATTTTTAAGGCAAAATTATAATTTATCCCTTAAAAGTTTATAATTACTGAAATCCCTCAAACGGATACAATAATATAAGTGTTGATACATTAATCTGATGCGCGAGATACATTAATCGTTAAGTAAGATACATTACATATACATGATACACTAATCTGATATACATTTTACGTGAGATGCACTGACCTAATGCGCGAAAATGAGGGATTTTGGAAATTTGTAAAACTTATAGGGGATAATGGTAATAAGTAAACTAAAAGGTGAGATTTCTGTAATTTTTCCTTTTAAGTAAATCTTCAATTGAGCCCAATTTAATCTCCAATTTCAACTCATTTTAATACTCTTTATTGCATTAATATAATGTATGTTCCTACATTGAATTACTATCTATTTTTTTAGGATATATCTATCCATTTGTAACTTTTAAAAAATAATAATAATTCTTGAGTCAAAATTCAAATTGTGGTTATAAAAGTTAAATATCAATATGTTAAAATTATTGAGATTAAGCAGGTCAAATTGGACGAGTCAAGATCCAACTTATTTTTTAACCCATTTGAGCCCAAAGTAAATTTGAGGGAGTCAGGACCCAATCTGATTTTTATTTCAATCCATTTTAATATTTATAATTATAACTCAACCCGTTCATTTGATACCCCTATATTAAAGTGATCAACAAGTAAAGGCAAAAATTTATTTAAATATAATTTAAGCGAATACTATAAAGCAATATGGATGGGAGTGGGGAATATAAGAGAAGCAGAAAATACTACTATTGAAATGGCTAGTTAAGGCAACAAAGATGGCGTGTAAAAGGCATGACCATTTTTTCGCTTTGCTTCTGCAATAATTAAGGATCAATTTAATTTCGATTGGGTTTAAAGTTAGTGTAAAATAATTTTTTCACACTCATTCAAAAGATATTTAGCTGGTATTTGATCATAAAATTTTAAATAATTTTCGGTAAATTATTTTTTATGCGTTTGGCCATAGATTAGGGAGAAATATTTGACTTTTAAAAAATATATATAATTTATACACATATATTTTAAAAATTATTAAAAATACTCATAAGGTTGTATTATCATTTTATAATAAAAATGTTCAACATAAATTAATATAAATTTGAAAAAGAAGAAGAAGGAAGAAAACAAAAGAAAAATCGTGGTAATAGGTTATTGGTTTAGTGATTTCGATACAACAACATATCATGTGAAATCTCACAAGTGAGGTCTGAGAATAGTAGAATGTACACAGATCTTACCACTACCTCACAGAAGCAAAAAGACTGTGTGTGAAAGATCCTCGACTCAAATGCAACAAATCTCGATATAAAGATGAAGGAGCCATTGAAGAAAATATAGCAAATAACAAGGAAAAGTGCAAAAGTCTACCAAAAAGGAGCCAAAACAACAACAAAATCATATGATAATTGAAACAACATATTAGGATATATTATAAGAAAACCATAATAAACAATGAGAAAACAACAATAATATAACTTACCATCGCAATCACCAGCCACTTTAAGCAAAACAATATCACACTACCTTCCAACTTTCTACCCTAATACATGCCCTCCACACCCTTCTATCTAGGGTCATATCTTCGGTGACCTGAAGTTGTATCATATCATGTCTTGTGACCTTTCCCCAATACTTCTTTGACCTACATCTGCCTCTATTCGTACCCTATATAACCAACCTTTCGCACTTCTTTACTGGTGCGTGTGTCTATACATCTGTTCTCCACATGTCCAAACCATCTCAGTCTCGTTTTCCTCATCTTGTCCGCTAGGTTGGTCACTCCTATATTATTTCAGATATCTTCATTTCTTATCTTATCGCTCATAGTATGACTTCACATCCACCTTAACATCCGCATCTCCTTCATATGCATCTTCTGGACCTGAGGGCTCTTGACTGGCCAAGACTCGGTCTCATACAACAATATCGGTTAAACCACCACTTAAGAGAACTTACCTTTGAGTTTTGGTTGTACCTTTTTATCACACAAGACTCTAGAGGCAAGTCTCCACTTTATCCATGTCGCACCAATACGGTGTGTGATATCATCGTCTATGTCCCCACTCCCCTAAGATACTTGAATCTCTTTCTTGGGTATATTTTGTGGGTAACAATTTTATTTTATTTTATTATCTGGTTATTGCTTCTTTAAAGTTTGAAGTTTTTTCTTAATAGATTAATCGATGATCCGATAGTGAATTAATAAATTATATTCATAATATTCGATACATAAAATTCTTGACTTAGGGTTTAGTCTCATACTTTTATTTCTAGTTATCCCTAACTCTCGATTATTTTATAATGTGTCAGTGTTTACTTATGAGTAAGATGCAATATGTCAACTCATGTGCATGGTTAATTTGGTTCGTCACCTTGTTTCTAAGTGATTTCCAATGATTTTTTTGTCAAATCTTAACGGTCAAATCGGTAATCGAACCGACAACAATCAATAATCAATAAGTCAATATTTTAAAGGGTTCTATAACAATTTATCTTATTTACAAATTAATAATGAATAAATCAAATTGATAAACTTTAAAATCGAACCGAACCGACAATATACTACCCTAATGTTACTTTTTTTAAGTGGCAATTATGGGTCCAAGGATTTTCGCCCCTTAGTCAAAGTGAATAGTCCGAATGAACATCTTCTCCCCCAAAAATCAGATTCCATTAATTGCTTCTGAAAGTATCTTCAACTGTACCAATTTGGTAAAATTCTTGCATAAAGTCTACATGTTTTCTAATCTTTTTCAGTTTCCTCAATTCTTCACAAAAATGTTGCTTCCCTTCCTCCTGCTGTCCATTCTCTCTTTTCCTAACAGGTGAGCACACTCTTAATTAGTCTCACTTTCTTGGTAAAGTATCTCTTTTTCATAATTTGCACAAACCATTTTGGTACTGAAATGAATAGATATAGAAGATTCATATAATTAACCCCAATATAAGTTTAGGATTGAAGTATAAGTAACTCTTCAAAGATTTTGGCTTTCTCTATACAATTATTGTGGTTATTTTGTCATTATTTGTCTTCTTGTTTATTGTTCTTTCTCCCTATGATTGTGTTGTTTGCAATAAATTTTCTCTAGTCTGGAAAATAACTGCAGTCACAAAATAAATATGAAGAAATATAATTTTATTGATAAAACAATGTGGATACAATTCTGTTTGTTTCCTTGATTCTTTTCTTTGGATTATCTTGATTTGATGCCAAAGCAAAGTGTTTCTCCATTAGGATATTGCGGACCTCGTTGGAATTTATTTGAGGGGGGATTTTGTGGATGTTCTTAAAGTATTTGATTGTCAAGAAGAGTTTGATCACATTTTGATCTCTTTTGAATATCCCATGAGTTTATGGAATTTTTTAGATTTTGTTCTCTATGTGAATAACCAAGAGTTTATGGGAGTACCAAAATTTATGGGATATTCGAGATGCCTCTTCAAGTGAATATGCTACCGTTTATATAAGCGTGAGCTAGAGTTTGGGGTATAGTAGCCTCCAATAACCCTAATATGGTTGGGCTTGTCCACAAAATTTCGATGTCTACATGTGTATTTTGTGACTATTTTTTGTTGCTCTCATACTGGACTTAGATTTCTCATGAGATTGATTTCTTATATGGTCACTCAGTTAATAGTTATTATTCGGAAAGTTACTTTCTTTGTGAAGAAAATTGGAATCGAGAAGAGAGGTGACTTTCTCAGATAATAACTAGTATTACTTGAGTGTCTAAGAAATCTAACTCATTTCTCGTGAGTCGGTCAAACTTTAATTCTCTATAGCCATTCGGCTTTATTCAATTGGAGTCAGCTATAATACTCACATTCTGTGCTTCTCTTTTGTCAATGCTCTAATGCTGCAGATGTTCAGCAGACTCTTCTACAGAAACAGAAAGGACATTGGCTATAATAAAGCCAGATGGTGTTTCTGGAAACCATACAAATTCCGTAAAGGAGACAATTCTCAATCACGGATTCAAAATCACAGGCGAATCGTTCATTCAGTTTGATGAGGATCGTGTGAAAAGCTTTTATGCTGAGCACTCTTCAAGGAGCTTCTTTCCAAGCCTTGTTGAATACATGACCAGGTTAACTTTCCCCGTCTAGAGATGGTATTTGATTCTGAATTGACTAGTAAGCCTCATTCTGTTTTGTAGCACCTGTTAAATTGGTATTTCTGCTGTGTTATTTTTTCTTTTTTCATGTATTGCTTCAAACAACTTACTGGTTACTATAAACTGCATGTTTATAATATAGGCTGAAGGATGGTTTAATTTGGTATCAAGTGATTGTTGAGAACATTTATACCATTAAACTAAGAATTTGCAAAAAAATAAAAGAATCATTTCCTTTTGAAAATGGACGATATTTGATGATGGTTGTTACATAACCCATAAAGGCATTTCAGCCTAAAATGATTGTTGCATCTGCCTCTAGATTGGAACGGTTATATTTGCTTCTAACAGGATAATAGGAAGTGCTATACTCAGTGATAACTCTCTGATACCACTTGATAGCACACAACTCAGGGGAACGCAACAAATATGAGAAAAATACTCAGAAAGAGTGAAGGATAGGTTGAATGTTACGGATTAGAATAACACAAACTCAAGTAATTAACTTCAATTGAATCCTTGTTATCATTAATGATCATTTCCCCAAGAGAGTAGCGATAGAACACAAGAAAGAATCATATAAAGAATATAATCAGTTAATTCCGAACAAATACGAAAGAACCTACTTATTAGTATTCCAAACAAGTGAGACTTGAGGTTCTTTAGCGATCAGAACGATTGGAAGGTGGCGTAAGTAAACCAGCTTTTCTCTATGTTGTATGGTTTTGAAATTTGAGACAGCCGGACAGGAAGAAGAAAAATGGGAGCCTTAGTGTTTTCTACTCCTTGTTTAGCTAGTGGTGATGAAGGATGTAATTCCATGTTAGGCATTTGCAAGACAAAAGCACCTAAAAACCTGTTAATTTGGTTGGAAAATGATAAATAACTTGAAACGCTACCTCAATATTTTCAAAGATGGGGAGAATTCTGTATGATAGGTGTTTTGTGTGAAAAGTATGAAGAAGTACGTGAATCACCTCCTTTTTCATAAGGTTGAGCATGTTTTATTTGCTGTTTGAAGCGGGATGGTATTGGAAAGAAGTAATTTGGAATGCATATCATTGTTGAAAGCGCTTTAAGTCAAAATGGAAGTCCAAGTATTTTGGTTGTGTATTCATTGAGTTGAGACACAATTGAGTGGAACAAAGGTTTGTAAAAGATGTGTTTTCTTCAATCAAAAGAAAAAAAACAAGTTTTCAAAATGATATAGATACCTTTGGAATCTTTTGAGTGCTTTAGAGATATAAATTTGTATGAAATGATATAGAAAACTCTTTATCAAAGAAGTAAATACAGTAGAAAATTGTACAAATCTTTTCAGTGGTTTAAAGATTTAGTTCTATATAACTGATTGGTGCCTTTTCATCCATTTCAAATGAAGTACCTTGTTTATTGAGAAAAAAAAAAGGTCTGTTGTCCATGGGTCCACTTGATAGTCATTTAATTGCAGAGACAGAAGTAGAAAAATTAGTGGAAGATCTGTCTATCGGATATATGCTATTATGTTGAATTTGGAATAGTTTCATGGACTAATTTCTCATGAGAATATTTTCAGCTGCTCCTCCTCAATTCTCATCCATTTACGACTCCTTTTTTCCCTTTACTAACCATTTATCGGCAGTGGTCCAGTGTTGATAATGGTTCTGGAGAAAGGGAATGCCGTAGCTGATTGGCGTGCATTAATTGGTCCAACAGACCCACTCAAGGCGAAGGTTACTCATCCTCACAGGTTTAGACCTCCTCTCTTCCTTTTTTCTATTTTTTTTACGTCTAAATAGATAGCCATAGCATGAGTTTGCCTTCCTTAACAAAAAAAAAAAGGGGTACTACCTCAATTTAACTCATAAGAAAATTCTTTTCTCAAGCATCCAATGGTGTGACCTAGTGGTAATGAAGTGGTTGAAAACCATGAAGTCTTAGATTCAAATCCCGATAGAGACAAAAGCACTAGGTGATTTATTTTCCTCTGTCCTAGCCTTGGTGGACAGAGTTACGACACCTATTGCTGGTTGGGGGTGACAGGTATCTCATGGAATTAGTCGAGGTGCACACAAGCTTGCCCTTGAAAATTGAAACATTATGAAATGCTTCTCTCCAAGATTTGCTTTTGAAAATTGAAATACTGTAAAATATGTGTAACTCTTCATTTCACTTGCTTTCCCCAAAGAAGTTGTCTCTTCATGGCATTGCAATTATTGTCTTCACTAGTACTCTTCCAAATTCTGTGACTCCCTCTCCTTCCACAAATGATTTAACATTATAACTAAAACAGCTAGCATCTTCTATGTTTTGCAAGTTTAGTTCTCTCCTACCTCTATGATTGACGATGTTAAAGTTGCTGGTAGTGCCTTTGACTTTGTTGACTCCATGCATAGCACATAGTTAAAGAAGTTGTCAGCCTATGTAATCCTTTTACATTGACAATTGTATTTAGGCTTTTTTTTTTCTTTTTTTTTCGTATTTAGGCTTTTGTTAATTCTGAATAAGACACTTTTTTAACCTGTGTTTTTATACATACAGTGTCAGAGCCATATGTGGGCTGAATTTACAGAACAATTGTGTTCATGGCTCTGACTCACCTCAGTCTGCTAGCCGGGAAATATCTTTCTTCTTTAAAACGACATCATCAGGTCAAATTACTAAGCCCATTTTATGTTTCTAATTATGTGCATGCATTTTATTCTTGACAATGAAAAGAAAAGGCGGTTTTTGTTGTCTATGACATGCTAATGATATTTGATTTTGCTGGCTGTGACATGTTGATCAGGCATCAACAACCATTACTTTTTAGAACCTGTGTGAAATGCTTGAATAATTATAGGCTCATGCATACCTCCATTAACCTTTTTTAGATTGAGATGATCACGAATTTAGTCCTTCTGCCTCTGGGATTAACAGAAACAAGGATTCCAACCCACTGCCTCTTCTATATTGCTTCTAAACCTCTTAAAATGGTTTATGCACATCTTTTAATTATATGATACGTATATTTGCCCCTTTTCCCTTAAGAAAATAATAGTACCTGTCTTTTGCTTGGTTGAATGTACCAAGCATACTAACCAGAACTGAAATGTAATTAAGCACCACAGACTAATGTAAATCCCTATTTTAGCATTTTTTGGAGAGATCGACTGCAATCAATCTCGTGATGTATTTTTGGAGGTAAGGTTCAGGTTCGGTCCCCCTCATGTGCCACCTTTCTGGTGAAATACAACACATCTAGGTGCAATCCAGTGTGAGAAGTTTGCGATGTGCATATCTCCCCCTTAAAATCAACTGAACTAATATCTTCTTATCAGAATCAAAACTGATCACCACTGTATCTCTGCTGTTTGCTGTGAACAGATGGAGAAAAAATAATTCAAGCACACTTGTATACTTGTTGCCATTAAGATTCTTTGTCTGATTTACGTTCTTCACAAAATCCGTTACTATTGCAGGACATGCATCTCAGCATGATGAATTATAAGTCATTGAAGAACAATCGAATCGTGCCATTCGGATTCCTCTATGAACAGATTTTTGCAGCTAACCTAACTAGAGTTGTCCTCTGAGATATTGTATCCTGCAGCTAATGAAAGTCAGATGAAGCTTATATTATATGAGTTTAGTTATCAGCATTTTCGAAATGTAACACAGATATATGTATGATAAAACACTAAAATAGAAACAAATATTATACTTGGAATGCATGTTTTCAAAAGTACAATGAATTCAGTATTTACACGTAATATAAATATACGTGCCAAATTACATATTTCAAATCATGTGTTACACTGACGGACGAAGGAACAACATAAACTACTACAATAGCTTGATCACCATGATTGACCTTATCCCTTTTACTACTTAAAAAATAGGTCAAAACTTAGGTTCAAAATTATATTGACGAACATGGTCGATTTTTAAAGGAAGATGGATGCCAAATCGATAGATTGTGCATTGTCGATTGCTTTTGTGAAACCTACAAATAGGGTCGGTGAAAATAGAGGGACAGTCGAATATGTTCGTTGATTTTTTAAATGATCGTTTTTTTTTATATAAATATACATTAAAAAAATGTGGCTACTTGAAATTGAATCTAGATATTTTATATGATTTTGGACAATTTTATCCCTCAACCACAAGACCCTTTCATTACTAATATCATGGTTTGTTGTTTATTAGTTATACATAACATAATATCAAATAGAATGTATCATTGATTATACGTAGTTTGAAAAAGTGTACCAAACAAGGCATAATTAGTAATGCACAAAACTATTGATGCATGCATACATTCTCCCAACACATGTAGGAAGTATCGTTTCGAAAGTGATTTTGGTTTGCCAATTCAGGTTCAACTTCAAGCCTTATATTAGCGGACCTACAGGTCGAATCAGGACTCTACGCTCTTTCTTTCTATGTGTGGGACTAGAGGGGAATGTGTCTAGATGTCGAGCAAGACAACTATGTTTTGATTTTTTTTTTTCCTCAGTGAGATCACCTCATGCACTAGACTGATGGATAAGAGAACTGATATGGCCTAGAAAGAGCTTGGTCACTCTACTTACGATGTAGCTCGACTCCATCACATAAATATTGATTTCTTTTGGATGGATAAATAATAAATAGTTATTTCATCAACAAATAGAAATAAGAGATCGATTTCCCCTTGAGAGTTCCTCTTTATCTCTTTCAATCTATCATAAAAGATCAAACTATCTATCAATCAGTTTGAAAATAGCACACTCATCTCGTTTTTCGTTCATTTTTTCCATGTAAACATAGCAAACATAATAAAAAGCAGGTGAATCAGTTAGAAGTACTCGCTTCACGCCCCTAAATTATAGATGTAGTTCCTCTTATATATGTATTATGAATTATTTGTGATTAGGGACTATGATGCAAAGTCAACTATCATCAAAATTAAATTTAGTAAATCTATAGAAAAAGGAGATACATGATAGCTAGTCAAAGTGAGCATAAAGTGCACACAACTTTATTATGGAGGAGATAACTCCACATCATGCAATTAGAGACTTAATTAATTTAATAATTAAATCAAGAACATTCCACATCTGGCAATTCTCTCGATATAAGCAGATTATCATTTTGATTACTCTACTCACATGCCCTTAATTACTGCTTTACTTTTAATTAACCTTTCTTGATTACTGTGATTTTCCCACTAATTCTCTCGAGTTACACTAATTAAAATGATGTAACTTTACCCTTCTATCCTTATTTAATGTTTTCTTAAGTCAACTTTATTAATAAATGGCAAAATTAATTAACTATTCTATCAAGGGTATAATAGGCAAAATATGGTAATTTATGCATAAATTTTATAAAATGACAAGTATTGTGGTCCAACTATTTATAAAAAGGGATGACATATAAAATGGGATGGAGGGAGTACATTTAAAAAAAAAAAACCATTTTGTGGTTTAAATATCTTAAGTGACGAACTTGGTGACGCCAAAGAATTTTAATTTAATTTAATTTATATTTGTATAATACTTTTCTCATTGATTAATCATTTGTGTAAGCATTATTCCTAACTTGGTAGTACGTATGTCGGTTGTATGGGTGTAATTGTTCTTTAAAAGTCAAATCGAATCGAACATTATTTGATGCAAATAATTAAAGTGATGATTTTTTTTAATATTATTAGTTATAACACATTAAAGACGATAACAACATATTCAAAACCACAAAGTGAGGTCGGTAGAATATGAAATATACGCAAACTTTAACCCTACGTAGATAGAAATATTGTTTCCATTTAATATTATAATATTATAACAAGAAATTAATAAAAATAAAATTGAATCGAACCAAATTGAATGTAAAGTATACAAATTGGTTAAATATTAGTAAGTTTTTTCCACAAATTCTAGTGATGTTGCACATTATCTAGTAATTTTTTTTATTAGCATTTAGCAACTCAGTAATCGATCAATATGGGTTCTGATGCAATGGTGGACTGTTTCACCCTTAGTCAGAGATTTTAGGTGGAAGCGTCACCCCAGATGATCCTTGCATGATTCAAATTTAGTCGAAACTCCAATACGAATTCCGAACTCCTATAAAAACAAAACTCAGTATTCGTTCTTTGAGATAGAACAACATTTATTCTTTTGGTAAATAATGAGTTAGGAGTGCAACCTTTGCATGGTTGCAATTTCTGCCACGTAAATCAAATCTTTCTTGAGCATTGCATGCAATAAATACAAACTCTTATAGTAAAAATATTACACTCAACGAACCTATGATACTCTTGATCAATACTTTGTGTATCACATTAAAAGTTATTATTTTACATATATAACAATGAGACATTAATGCAACTCTTACATAAAGTCATAAAATGTAGTATCAATATCGAAGATGTATCAAAATGATTGAAATGGTTTTAAAAATTCTAATTTTATTTATATACAACAAAGTAATTGAAATTTGATATAGTATTTTATTTGCTAAAATAATCTTCCCCCACCCCCCTTCGCCCCTACTTATCATCATCCATAAATTAGACACTATGAAAAATAAAGGGTTTTTTTTTACATCAAAATGATAGAAATTTTCTATTATATATAAAACATGATTCTTTTATTAATTTTCAACCGAATCAACTTACAGAATAGTCAGCATATGATGTACTTCACTAGTGTATGAGCAAATATGGCTCTCAACATATTGAACCAAACCTAATATAGGGGAAAATAACATATGATCACCACATGTTAATTGTCTCCTCACTAACTAACTAAACATATGGTTTTTGGATGAACATCAAAAAGAGAGGCTTAATCATCGAGTCCGGAGCCTAAAGGGCAAAAAAAATTGTCAAAAATTCCAAAAGGGCACATCACTTTTTATTCTAGCCAAAAGGGCAAAATCGCTGCGTCAGCAGCGATTTTCCTCTGACAAAATGACGAAATAGCAGCGATTTCATCTAAAAAAAAAATTTTAATTAAAAATCGCTGCCACGGCAGCGATTTTTGTAAAAAAAATATAAATAAATAAAATTTATTAAAAATCGCTGCGATTTTGTAATTTTTTTTAATTAAAGATCGCTGCTTTTTCTTTAAAAAAACTAAAACGGCACATCAAAAAAAAAATTAACCAAAAAGGCTTCTGACAAAACAAAAATAAAAATCGCTGCATATTTTCTCAAAAAAAAAAAAAACTTTTTTTTCTTCAAAATCGCTGCTATTTAAGAATTTAAAAAAAAATAATTTACTTTAATATTCTTTTATTATTATTTATGATATATAATTCAATTTTCCTCATGCTTCAACAATTTTATTGAGTATACTGTCGTCTTGTTTATCATTTTTATATTATTAATAAGTAATAATAGGTATGAAAATAATAGCACTCGGCGTGAAAAACGCTGCCCCTGCAGCGATGTGTAAGGAAAAAAAAAATTCTGACTTAAAATCGCTGCCACAGCAAAAAAAAATTTTGTTTTTTACAATGGCAGCGATTTTTAATAATAATAATAATAACAAAAATTAACAAAATCGCTGCTGTGGCAGCGATTTTTAATTAAAAAAAAAAATTAGACGAAATCGCTGCTATTTCGTCATTTTGTCAGAGGAAAATCGCTGCTGAGCCATTTTGGCTAGAATAAAAAGTGATGTGCCCTTTTGGAATTTTTGACAATTTTTTTTGCCCTTTAAGCTCCGGACTCCTTAATCATCACCACCAATTCTTTAAAGTAACTTATGTGCAAATAGTGCAATCCAATCACTTCAAAAAGTTATAGGCCCATACCCTCACAAGAGGAAAGGAAAAAAAAAAAAAAAAAACTCAATTTCTTCTTTGAGAATTGCTCTGCTTTATTAGTTTTTACTCAAATAATAAGTAATTCAATTTTAGATCATTGTCATATGTCTTTATCGAAAATGTATTTTAACCAAAAGATCATACTCATCTCTTCCCAATTGTAAGCGGACCTGCTTTATTAATTTTTGTTCAAATAATAAGCAATTTACTTTAGAATAATTGTCATATGTCCTTATCTAAAATAGACTCTTATAACTAGAAGATACTCTTCTTTTCCTAATTGGAAACGATTAGTTCTTGCTCAAATAATAAGCAATTCAATTTTGGATAATTGTCATGTGTCCTTATTGAAAATAGAGGATTCTAATGACCAAAATATACTCTTGTCGTTCTAATTGGAATTAAGTGGCTCTGCTTCATTAGTTTTTGCTCAATTTGATAGAGCATAAACAGATTTTATTTATTTTTTGAATAATTAATATGGCTTTAAATAATATATTTTTAATGATAAATGAATTTAAAAAATTAAGTCATTTTAATTATAAAAATATGATATTCTAATTTTAAGAAATTTTCATTGGTTGGTTTTTTGAAATACTCCCTCTGTCCCTAATTACTTGTCCACTTTTCATTTTATAGTTGTCCCTAATTACTTGTCCATTTTGACAAATCAAGAAAGGATAAATTCTTTTTACCTATTATACCCTCAATTAAATGACTAATTATTTTGAAAAATGTAGAACTTTTCATCCACTTTATAATTAATAGGGGTAAAATGGTAAACTTACTATGTCATTAGTTATTTTCTTAATAGGTGTGTCAATTCAAAAGTGGACAAGTAATTAGGAACAGAGGGAGAGGGAGTA